CCAACGACCTTCCCAACTGCTGCATCGTATGCGGCAACTACTCGGTGTGCACGCGCGTCAGGACGGCCAGCTCCCACTTCTTCGTGAACTTTTCCTGCAACGGCTCCCCCAGTCGGTGCGCGTGGTTCTCGCGGGTTCAAATGAGACGTCCCTTGATCGACTAGCGCTACTTGCCGATCGCATCACGGAATACTCAACTCCAACCTTTGCGCCCATAGCTGCTGCAAGAACACATGAGCAACCAGATCGACTGTCGCGCCTTGAGGAGAAACTGCAACACCTTACCGAGACCATGCAGAAACTTGTGCTATCTGGTGCTCCCCAACAGGACGAGCAACGACGCAACCGATCTCCTTCAAGACACCCAAGCTCTTCCCAGAGAAGCCATGCACGAGATACACAGGACGGAGTTTGCTGGTACCACCGTCGTTTCGGCACGGGTGCTAGCCGATGCACTCAACCTTGCTCGTTTCCGGGAAACGCTCCGGCCAGTCGTTAACGGCGGCTTACGACATCGGCCCTCCACCCAGCCGCCTGTTTTTCGTAGTCGACCGCGTAAGCAACTCGCGCCTGCTAGTCGACACGGGAGCCGAAATCTCTATTGTCCCGGCAACCCCCGAGGATCGCCGACGTAGCAAGAACACATCGTCGCTGCAGGCAGTGAACAACACTGCCATCGCTACGTACGGCTTCCGCTCGCTGACAATAGACGTCGGACTCAGGCGCCTGTTTCGCTGGGTCTTCGTGGTGGCGGATGTTAATTTCGCCATACTCGGAGCAGATTTTCTCAGCCACTTCAACCTGGATGTGAGCGTACGTGACCGTTGCCTCAAGGATAACAACACATCTCTCAAAGTACGTGGTTTGGAGTCAAACATCTGCTCATCTGGCATCTGCGCCTTCCAGCCAGTATCAGCCTACCACCACGTCCTGGCCGAATTCCCCTCGCTCACCAAGCCCCGCAACACGGAACAGCCGGTGAAACATAACGTGACTCACCACATCGTCACCACTGGGCCGCCAGTCACCGCCCGGCCACGACGGCTGTCCAGCAAAAGGCTTCAAGCTGCACGCAGGGAGTTCGAGCATATGCTGCAGCTGGGAATTGTTCGCCCTTCGTCTAGCAACTATTCATCGCCGCTACACATGGTGCCTAAGGACGACGATTGGCGCCCGTGTGGTGATTACAGAGCCTTGAACGCATCGACAACGCCGGACCAGTATCCTCTGCCACACATTCACGATTTCAGCGCGCGGCTGGCAGGTACGAAAATATACAGCAAGATCGACCTTGTAGCGGCATACCACCAAATCCCCGTCGAACCGCAGGACATACCAAAAACAGCCATAACAACTCCGTTCGGCCTGTTTGAGTTTGTCCGCATGCCCTACGGCTTGAAAAATGCCGCACAGACCTTTCAAAGGTTCATGGATGAGGTCACCCGGGGTCTTCCTTTCATCTTTGTCTACCTGGATGACATTTTGGTGGCCAGCAGAACGCCTGCGGAGCACGAAGAGCACCTCCGCCAGCTCTTTCAGCGTTTGGATGAGCACGGTCTGGTGTTGAAACCTCAAAAGTGCGTGTTTGGAGTAGAGGCGCTCAACTTCCTCGGCCACCACATCACTGCTGAAGGCATTATGCCATTGGAATCGAGGGTGGAATCCGTCAAGAAGTTTCCAGCTCCAACATCTTTTCGCAAGCTGAGGGAGTTCCTCGGGCTCTTAAACTTCCACCGGCGCTTCATTCCGTCTTGTGCTCGAGTGCTCCAGCCATTGACCGACCTGCTGCGCCGAGACGACCAAAAGGCACCAGAATTTTGTTGGTCTGACGAACACCAGAACGCTTTCCAGAAAGCTAAGGACGAGCTAGCCGCGGCTACCCTTCTCATTCATCCACGGCCTGAAGCTCCTACACGCCTCATGGTGGACGCTTCCTCCACATCGGTCGGAGCAGTGCTGCAGCAACAGGAGGGCGCCCAGTGGAAGCCACTGGGCTTCTTTTCGAAACGTCTGAAGCCTGCAGAAGCACGGTACAGCACTTTTGGAAGGGAGATGCTCGCAATATATTGTTCCATTAAGCATTTCCGCTACTTCCTCGAAGGCCGTGAGTTCTACATCTTGACAGACCACAAGCCCCTCACCTACGTATTCAAAAACAACAGTTCCTCCTACTCAGAACGAGAGATCCGTCAGCTCTCATTCATCTCCGAGTTTTCTACAGACATCCGCCACGTTCCCGGGGTCGAAAACGAAGCAGCTGACGCCTTGTCTCGCGTCAATGCTTCCAGCACAGAAGTCCTGGACTTCGAAGCTATGGCCGCAGCTCAGCGGGACGACCCCGAGTTGACAAGACTGAAGGGAGGGGGATCTTCACTCGTGCTCTCGGAGGTTGCACTTCCCTACGTCCAGAGCACGATAACCTGCGATACCTCCCAGGCAGCACCACGACCTTTTGTCCCACTGAACTTTCGCCGAGTGGTATTCAACACTTTCCACTCCATCAGCCACCCAGGTGTCCGTGCCACCCAGCGGCTGATAACGCAACGCTTCGTTTGGCCCGGAGTCAACGCGGACGTGCGACGATGGGCTCGGACATGTGAAACGTGTCAGCAAGTGAAAGTGACTCGCCACAATCGGGCTGCCCTACAGGAATTTCGGACTCCTGAGTCGCGGTTTGACCACGTTCACCTTGACCTCGTGGGACCACTACCGCCCTGCCAAGGATTTAGGTACCTGCTCACATGCATCGACAGGTACAGCCGGTGGCCCGAAGCTATACCAATTGCGGACATATCAGCTGAGACCGTCGCGCAGGCCTTCATTCAAACATGGGTGTCCCGCTTTGGCTGCCCCGCCCGCATAACAACTGACCGGGGACGGCAATTCCAGAGCAACCTCTTTTCCGCACTTTCAACGCTCCTCGGCACGAAGCTGCAGCATACAACCGCCTACCACCCCGCCAGCAACGGAATGGTTGAGCGCTTCCACCGGCAACTCAAAGCCGCACTGGCAGCGAAACTCGACCGCCAGCACTGGGTGCAGAAGCTCCCGCTCGTTCTTCTTGACCTACGCTCAACGGTGAAGGAAGACCTCGGCTTCAGCGCAGCGGAAATGGTCTACGGCTCAACAGTGCGCCTCCCGGGAGAATTCTTCTCCGACCAGACACCTTCCGCCCCAACAGCCTCCGATCACATCGAGAAGCTGCGCGCATGGCTCGCGCAACTCAGGCCAACAGCACCTCGCATCGCCCGCAACAGGAAAGTTTTCACTTTTCCTGACATGGACTCTGCTACCCATGTGTTCGTGCGACACGACGCAACGAAGCCGCCCCTTACTCCGCCGTACGATGGCCCATTCAAAGTTTTGGGACGTACTAACAAAACCATCGCAATCGACGTGCGGGGGAAACGAGAAGTCGTCGCCGTTGACCGCGCCAAGCCTGCTCATATTGAAGTTTCCATTCAAGCAGCCTCTCACGTTCGATTTCAGTGCTAACCATTGGACTGTGACCTTTCACTATTCAGCCCGTAACTGCTGTCCTTCTTTAAAAGCTCCGCAATCTAGGGGGGGAGCCTTTGTAGCGGAAGCTGCTAAGCACCACCGCATTCTTTTCTATCCCGTCTGCAGCCGGCCGTCGACAGCGCGCCTACTCGCGGCGCCAGCTCCTCCTCCTCCGTGTTCGGGGAACAACGTGTTGTCGGGGCCGGCTCCGGGGATTAGACCGGCGGCATGCTACGCCTGCTCACTCGGTGGCCCCCTTTTCCTCTTTCTTGTAGAAGAACGCGGGAGTGCCTCATTCTCTCCCTCGTCGAGGGGAGCTCTCGTCACTCGCACGGAGTGGAAATAAACGGTCTTGCCCTGCAACTCCAAACCTGCTTCACGTCTCCTTTCTCGCTGCCTCCGGCAGCCGACATTTCCGGCCGCTACAATAGTATTAAAACTCCTTGTAGGCTCTATGACTTCACATGCACACATCGCATTGCTCAAAATTTGCAAAGGTTTGCTGATTGTTGCACCGCATGCAAGTGGAGAGACAAACTTATAAATAGCGTTTTCGTGTGGTTCCCGTAGCACAAAACCAAAAGCTTGATGGGGCGAATAGTGTGTTTACGTTAGCGTCTCACTCTTTGTACATTAAGTGAAACTTCGATTATACGTCTCCCGGTTTCCGTCAACCTGTATTTTACGACACATTGGTTTAGCCCCAGCAAAATACCTATTGAAATAATGTATTAAAAACTTTGGTTATACAACACAGTTTTACACTGACCCCGCATCTTACGACGACTTTAAAATTACGTCCAAAAGAAAAATGCCAGGCCTGCACAGAAGGCGCAACACAGTCACAGCGAAAGCTAGAAGAGTAGCCTTTCAGAGCCTTTTTTAAACACTCATTGATTGACTGCTGCAAGCACACTTGCTGGGTACCCGCTACGACATCGATAATCATAACTTCTGTGTAGTAGGCCGGCATTCACTACGCTATCCTTCATCATTTTTGGGAGAAGCGTGGTGTCTGCTACACACCTGCAAGAAATTTTGTGCAAATTTTTCATGTAGTAGCTGACGACGATGAAAAATTAAGCCTGAAGTGAGTATGCACACCACAGTTAATAGATGATCAAGAACAAGCTTTTGTAATGGGTTGGAGCATTGAATGACCCACTCGTTACGCAATTCGAATTCTGTGATGCCTGTTTTTTTTGCTGTTCCAAAACACTTCATTACTCATTAACGCGATTCCTTCCCCAACATCGAGCCTGCCTAAGGCAAATTTGCAAACGACTTTCAAGCACCGCGTGGCTCAGTGGTAGAATACTGGGCTGGCAAGCAGGCGACATGGGATCACCCCGCTGCGGTCTTTGTGTTTTTTATTTACTGAGCTTTTCTCCTTATTTCGTGCGATAGTGGGTACGGACACCGGCGGCACCGAACAACGGTGCCGCACATGACCCGTGTTGTGATCTCATAAGAGCTTTTGCTGTAAAATTTCTGCTTACATGGAATGGCAAGGTTCCGCAATGCTGCCAATAAGGCATGCTGCAGTCTGATGTCTCCATCTGTTCCTGTGTGCTCTGTAAGAAGGTCCAGCAGACGCTTCGCAACACCATCTCTGACCATCTGAATGCAGTGATCATCTGAAGAATGCACAGTGAAAAAAAAACACAGTAAGTATGCAGTACCATAAAGACAAATTAAGCATACAGGCTTTCAACAAGTAGCAAAGTACATATACAATGACAGATAATTTTTCAGTCTACCTAAAAACAGGAATGATGGCTTTTTTAAAATGTGAGAGGTTACGATAAGTTATCAATAACCTCGAAGCAGCAAGTTTCAGATGTAAGGAAAATAAAAAATTCTGCAACTCACTGCTGTTACCTGCTAATAGCAGTTGTGTGCATTAATGCATTTTTCTGTTTTATTACGATACTTTTGCTCCATCTACTGCATTGCCACAGGAAATTGCCATTGCTTTGCGCAATGCAGACGTCGGGAACGAAGAGAAACGCTAATGGCACGACTACGAGCGATGAAGCCAGCCGCAATGCACGAGCCGGCCCTGCATGCGCATGGTATTCTACCGAACAGCCAACGCGTGTGAATAAGAAGAGAATGAGGGTGCTCGAGGCAGAGGCTCACGAGGACTACCGACCTTCGGATCTTCTTGATTGCTGTGCGTCGTTCACTTTGGGCACAAGTTCGACCATAATAAATTGTGTAAATGGAACATCCTTGTTGTGAGGCTGCTACATTTGTTACAGCATGACTATTCTATTTCTCTGGGGCACACACTGCATGATGTGACAAAAGGTATTTGACCCTATTAGAGTCTGCAAGCACCCAGATTGATGGCACTACAGCACGAACAGCTAATAGTATATGCATTAGTTTGGCACTAGTCTGGGAAGTGTATTTCATTAATACAGTTTAATGATAAGCATTTCATTAAGTAGAAAATGCTTTTGAATGCTGAATTTTCATATTAGATTACACACTCTCTTGAATATCTACTACAACAGCACAAACTGCGTGAAATTAGATATCGCTAGCATATACATTAACCTGGCTATCTATGCATTTATTACACTGTAATGCTGCTGTTTCCAGGCTACCTCCCTTCTTATTTTGAGCTTCACTACTGCCTTCAGACGAAGAAAAACAAGACTCTATCCAAGACTGCCACTGCTACGATTTGAACTCATGTCACATCAGCAATGTGTACTTAAGAGCTGGACAAGCTGCGTGCTATATTATTGTGCAACAATAGCATATAGTAATTAATGCAAGGTGTCGCACTCAATGTAGACTAAGATTAACAGTAGTGGGCATAAATATATTTTAGAGGCCACAACAAGCAGTACTGCAAAATACAACTGCGCAGTGCATGTCACAAAAAACTGCGTTCTCGAAAAAAAATGACTGTGTATTGGCATGCGATTCTTCAGTCATACTTGTGGGAACACATTCATGGCAATAAAAGGTGTATGTGACAACGATTATAATGAGCCTCATTGATTGATATGTGGGGTTTAACGTCCCAAAACCACCATATGATTATGAGAGACGCCGTAGTGGAGGGCTCCAGAAATTTCGACCACCTGGGGTTCTTTAACGTGCACCCAAATCTGAGCACACGAGCCAACAACATTTCCGCCTCCACCCGAAATGCAGCCGCCGCAGCCGGAATTCGATCCCGCGACCTGCGGGTCAGCAGCAGAGTACCTTAGCCACTAGACCACCGTGGCGAGGCTATAATGAGCCTCAAACATTTTCATTTAACAATATTTATTACTTCGTCACACAGAAAAAAGTCACATTTAGATCACAAAAAAAGAAGGTCATTAATTACAGAGAAAACATTCCTCTCAAATAATCAGAAAATATATAGTTCTGAGTTCAACCTTATTTTAGTTTTGTTTTCTTCTTAAATACAGTTGTATGCCTTTACAAAACACACTGATGTAATTGATAACTGGGTATTAGAAGCACCAGTTCGCCTACACCAAAACAGGCGTTGATCAGAAAACGAGAATGTGGTATTAATTGATTATTCAATCAACCAACAAATTAATCAATCAGTCAATCTAAGACACATCTCAGAATTACAAAAAATAACTGCTCCTCGGGGAACGTCTAATATAAACAGGTTTAACTGAATATTAGTCTTAATAGCTCACAGTTATGCACCACGAATTACTAAAAAACATTATGCACCCTGTAACATTGCCTATCTTATTTGACAATCAATTCTATTCTTGTTCTGTCTGCTTGTTGATGTGCCCATTAAATGTGCTCCTACTGTGTAATAACAATGCAATGTGCTATATCCAAAACTACGTTTTGGGCTGGAGGTCTTTGATCAGTGATGACCACTAGCTGGCCACGAACACTACATTCAAAAGCAGAATTGACCACTCATCTTCAGTCTGTGATTCTAGACAACAGTACATGCCCAAACAACCATGCCTGCAAAACCAAAAACCAGTTCACTACAAGTGTGAAAAAAATAACTGTAAAAATTAATTCAGTCTGTGATTCTAGACAATCGTACATGCCCAAATAAACACGCCTGCAAAACCAAAAACCAGTTCACCACAAGTGTGAAAGAAAAAAAAAACTAAAAATTGATTTTGGCTCAGAAAATTTTCATTCAATTAAGTACTAAACATTGTTATACTCAATTATTTCACTACATGTCTTGAGAAGAGAAAAAACACATGGCTGACCTTTGCGAGCAAAGTTGCCGGCTGACAGGGCTCCAGCCACACGAAGGTTGTCGTCATCTGCCTGGAGCCATGCCATCGTGGCCTTGTAGATGGGCCCACTACCATTCTGGTAGACATGCCGCATACTAGCATCTGCCTCACAGAAAATAAAGCAATAATCTGCTTACCATTAAAATTACAGAGTTCATGACAAGCAGTAACCTCTATGGCAGAATATTACTGCCTAAAAAAAACTAAGTTATACTTAAAGCTATTTTTATGCAAGCTTGAAACAATGGCATTACATTTGAATGAGTGACTAACCAAGTGCAATAATTATGGCTCTTTAAGAGCTTGGCCATATACACCTGGGAGCAAAAGTATGTGGAGCATACCTGTTCATATACCATTGCTGTCTGCATAGTCTAGTGGTTGTCTGCTGCGGAGGTAATTTCTTTTACGCCTCCGTGGTCTGTATACGTTTGCTCACAGGTGTACTTATATTTCCACAAAACTGTGCATACTTTAACATAGAGAGCAAACTCAAACCATACTGCAGAGCTTACAACAGCAATATATGTGTCTGTATGCACCCAAAAGAATTTCTTAGAATTTTCAGGGTTGTCATTAAGCCCCTTATGTGGAGCTCTTTTTCATGAACATGTAAGCATATTCGTGTTTTACACGAAAGTGTTTTATCCCGGGATCCACCAGAACTTCACTAATGTATTTTCATCGCAGATATGACATTGTAAGGCACAAGAACACAATACAAAGAAAGAAACCAGAAGAAAAAGTTGTACGAATTTGGAGGACCGGAAATCGAACCCACGACCTCTCAGGCGCGCAGTTATAAGAAGCAGGCACTTAGCCGACTGAGCCATTGGTGCATTTGTGAAGAGTCTTTCAGACACACCTTATATGTCTCACACTCCTTCGCTCTATACTTTGTTGGGTTTGGCGCTTGGGCCGAAAAGGGGATCAGAATTCCATGTACTAAGGGATTTCTTGCCCGCAGAAAACCGTTCAAGCCAGGACATTGCTATTCCAAGCCGGCTGGGAAGTAAGGGGCCCTGCAGTCTGAAGTCGCTATCGACCACAATGGGTTTTGGTGGCAACAACATTCCTCGAAGAAACAGCGGCTTCACTGCGGTCCTTTTAATGCGTCGGCACGAGCGTGAGACCCATTACCCTAACGACCTTTTCACGCCAGCGAGGGGACACAGTGGTGCCACAGCACAAGTGTGATGACTCTGCCCCGGTCAAGGACGCTGATGTGGGCGGGTGCGGGTGGCCTTGTTTAAAGTGGTGTATGTCTTGGGATTGGACAGTGTAATTTGATGCCTTTTCCCTCACCCACGGATCTGGGGAAATGAGACTGTTTATAATCAGCCTTCACAGGCTGTTTCAAGAGTTTTTTTGATGTACAGTTTTTTCGACACAGGTTTGTTAAGATGTAACGCTCCTCCATGTAATCTATGTAAATAAACCTCTGTTAATATCTCTCCAAAAATGTACCTTCCTCCCTGCGAGATGGGCTGAAAGGGTTCAGTGGTGGCGGCCAGCTACCTACAACAAGACCAGCCGGGCCCGAGCTGTGAAAACTGGTAATCGGGGTGAGATGCTGTCGACCTCCGGTCATAATAACTGGTGGAAGCAATGGCATGCCATCAAACCCGGTCCTAACAACTGAATGGTAGCAGTTGGATAAGACTGACCTTGTGAAAGCAGATGTAGGCCACATGGTGGGATCGAGTAGCAGTGCCATGCCATCAAACCTCGGTTCTAACAACAGGATGGCAGCAGTTGGATAAGACTGACCTTGTGAAAGCGGATGGAGCCTACATGTTGGGATCAAGTAGCATAGTGGGAATGCACCTTCCTTCCTGCAAAATGGGCTAAAAGAGTTCGGTGGCGGCGGCCAGCTTTCTACGAAGACCAGTCGGGCCCGAGCTGCGACAACTGGTGACTGGGGTGAAATGCTGTCGACTCCCGGTCATAACAACTGGTGGCAGCGGTGGAATGCAGTCAAACCCCAGTCCTAGCAAACTGCATTCTTCATTTATCGGAGCGGTGCCCTCGCCTAAGATAGGAGAAGTACTGCATTGTGACACAAACTAACACTGATAGAGACTGCTGTGGCAGTCTCAGCACTAAGGTGCATTGATGCCAGCATTTGAATGGACACTGGCATCAGAGCCAGATTAACCCTAGTAATGCCACCTCAGTGGCATTGGCCCTAGTAGAAACACAGTGTAGCATGGCCTTTGCAATCAGTTCTGACAAAGCTCCTGGAGGCAATTTTGGAAGCCACAAACAAAGGCTGCAATTTCCATGTGCTCTATCCGCTGATTTGACTTGGTGATGACGCAGTATCATGCACTCTTTCGCATTGTATTGGTTTCGGTCATGTGCTTCGCCTTTCCTGTTGTGCTAGCGTGTGCAGCGTAGTCAAGCTTCCGTGTGCATCAATGGTGTATCTTCGCTGTCAACTGGTACATGATTGATATGTGGGGTTTACGTCCCAAAACCACCATATGATTATGAGAGACGCCGCAGTGGAGGGCTCCGGAAATTTCGACCATCTGGGGTTCTTTAACGTGCACCCAAATCTGAGCACACGGGCCTACAACATTTCCGCCTCCATCGGAAATGCAGCCGCCGCAGCCGGGATCTGTCAACTGGTACAAGTGTGATGGCACCGACTATGAGAACTGCTACATTAGGTGCTACTGAAAGACAACACTGCCGACGGGTGAATGTTGTGCAAGTGAGTTTGGTGCAGTGATCCACACACCAGGGAAAGCGGTAGGTCTGCGCACGTTCACGGCTCAAGCCGAGAACTCAGCCTCTCTAGTTAGTGAAGTCGAGCGCATTGTGACCCAACTGGCTGCCATACAGACATTGATGCAGGAACCGAAATGATCGGATCTTCGCTGCAGCAATATACCAGCAGTACGCTGCTCACCAACACGACACCGCCATGCCAAGCATATACACAGAATGGTCACCGACCCGCAAATCATGTGCCGTTCGTTGCAGCGGACCCCGATTTGAAAAGGATTCAGTGAAAAACCATTCGGTTTCGTTTGCACGGTTTGTGAAAGCCTGTAGTTCACGTGCGTTTTGCACGATGCTCCCGTTTGTGCAATACAGTCTCTCTAGAAAGTGTATCCCAGTTGAGAGTCCTTAGTTGTTGTGATGTAGAAGATGTGCTACCAGGTGTGAATACGGGAGCATGAACATCTGAGAATGCTGCAGACACTAAATACCAATAGACATTATATGTTAATGTGCAATAAAAATTTAACTACTTCTGTGAAGACTTGTTTCATTTTTGTGCGTTATAGTGATTCCTATATCAGAGAGATCAAACACATTTTTTGTTTTACTTTTGCTGGATAGCTTTACATGATATGAACAGCTGTCTTGACCGAGCATCTTCAAGTCAGAATTTCTAAGTCATAAAAATATAATAATGAGCTCTCAGGTTAAGAATCCAACAATACAAGATGATGCCTCTGCTTGTCAAATACTACTGTAAAACCTTTTATTACTGCACGTCCTTAATTGTGCAAATCTTGGAAAAGAGTAAAATCTATAAGCGTGAATAAGTTCTGAGAGCACATATGAACACTATGCAGAAAACAAATTGATTGATACGTGGGGTTTAACGTCCCAAAACCACCATATGATTATGAGAGATGCCGCAGTGGAGGGCTCCGTAAATTTCGACCACCTGGGGTTTTTTAACGTGCACCCAATTTCGAGCACACAGGCCTACAGCATTTTCTCCACCACCTAAAATGCAGCCGCCGCAGTCGGGATTCGATCCTGCGACATGCGGGTAAGCAGATGAGTACCTTGGTCATTAGAACACCGCAATGGGGCAGGAAACTAAAAAATAACCTTGCGAACTAAATGTGCTGACCCCAAAATGTGGTGAATTTGATTAACTTAGCTAGGCAAGCTCGCATACTGCCAGACATAAGAAACAAACTCATGAGTGCAGGCATGAAAACAAATTGTGTGTAGAAGCTAACACATGTCAACATGTAACAATGACAACTGATGCACGAGGAGCTATGCTTGAATAACACAGATGACTGAAATGTCCAAATGAGCTTTTGTAGCACAAGTAAGCCCTATTGCACAACCAAGGTACTCATTCCAAAGTACCCGAATCTACAATTTGCGAACAACTAAGGCTGTAAAATTACACAGTTTTAGAGTATTACTTGCAAACATACATTTACTGCATGTTGACAAAAAATTAAATATTTAGTTTGTTACACCCAATAATTGATCATAGGGAGAGAGCATATGCTTGGGCACGTTGATAAACTGTGTTAAATTTTACAGTGAACAAAAAACAGACAAAGTTGTATGTCAGCATTGTCCCTTTCAGTCATTGTTCTTTTTATGTGGTACAACAGTCCACATGTTATACTAAAACTTTTACAGCAGAAATTGTATTTGTAATACATCCATGAAAACCACTCATTGTCATATTTGGTAATTATACTAACCGAAATTGTAAAAAAATAGTGCATAATAATGAAGAAGAAGTCATGCCAGTGTTTGCACTTGCCTCCGGTTAGGACAAGGACTGTAAGGTCGCAGATGGTTTTTATTACGCTCTGTCTCTCTTCTGATGAAGGAGTTCCAGGCCCAGACTGAAATCTCTTCAAGACTTCTATGAGCTTCTCACAAAAGCCCAGTTCCACAAGGTCTTCTTTTACTTCATCTATAAAATGCCAAAAGAGAAAAACCAGACAAATTAAGTCGCAGAAAAATGTGAAGGGTACTATGTCTTGGACACTCTCAAGCCTTTAATAATCGGTCATGACACTAAATAAAGACTCCAGGTTTCAAGTCAATGCTTTTGAAAAGGTGCTCTCCCAGTGTGGCATCCACTGCCCTGGATGTTTATTGCAGGGTGTCTACCATTTTAATTTTCCAGGTTCCCTGACCTTTCCAGGTTCTTCATCACAATTAAAAGTAAATTTCATGACAGTTACATCTGCTTGGAAAACTGTGCACTGAAAAGAAATCTTCGCACAGAAAAAAAAAACAGGCTCTCATATATAATAAGTAAATATAGTATTTACCACACACTCAGAATGTTCTGAGCATGTGTGGTAAACAAAAAATTCCTACATTTGGCCAAAATAAACCTCTGTGTCAAGTAGTGGGCAACTTCGAAAAAACCAGGAAGCCAACTCTCGAGTTAAAATTAACCACAGCTGAAAGTTTGAAGCAGCTCGCAATGGTTCGACAATGCAGCAAAAGGTGCTAGGAAATGTAGAAGTGGCACAATCTAGCGGCATCCATGTAAAAGAAGGACGCGGGATCCTGGCGGGTTCTAGTTCACTATAATGTCTCCAGCCCAGGCTGCTTAAGATGTAGACTGGATTGAATTAGATTAACCTGGACTGCAGTATTCTCTTTTGATTTTCATCCCCGCCTAAATTGCACAGCTCTAAAATACACTTTCCCACACAAAAAAAAAAAGAATAAATACAGCTCGCGTATCCTATGCATCTTGCCTTGGCCGCACTGCAACTTTCTTTCTTTTACAGGGAAAGCTGTTACAAGATCACAACAAGGGTCACACGCAGCACCGTAGTTCTTCGCCACCCATAACCAATATCGCACGAAATAACAAGAAACTTAAATAAAAAAACACCAGACTTGTTGTGACATAGTGGGATTCGGACCCAGGTCCACTAAGTGCTAGCCCAGTATTCTAACACTCAGCCACGCTGGTGCTTGGGAATCGTATTCAAACTTGCCTAAGGCAGGCTTGATGTCGGTAAAGAAATTGTGTTAATAGAGTAATAAAGCACTTCCGAACAGCAACAAAAGAACCAGGCGTCAGAAAATGTAAATCGCATAACAAGTGGGTCGTTCAATGCTCTAACACATTACAAAAGCTTGTTCTTCATCACCCATTAACTGTGGCACATACCTACTTAAGGCATAATTCTTCATCGTCATCAGTCACTGAATTAGCACAAAATTCGTTGAAAGTGTTTAGTGGATACCACGCTAGACAAAAAAGATACCATAGTGAATACTGGCCTACTACACAGAAATTATAATTATTTATGGCATAGTGGGTAGCCAGCAAGTGCGCTTCTAGCATTTACCCAAAGAGTGTTTATAAAAGGCTCTCTGAAAGGCCCCTCTCTATGCTTTCGCTATGACTGTGCGTTCTGCGCAGGCCTGGCGATACTTTTTTTTTTCACGACTTTTTTTTTTTACTTATGCAAGTAATTTTGTGCACGTTTTTCCAAGACAAATGTGCACAAAATTACCTGCATAAGTAATGTTGTGGTTCGAAAGTCATATATGCTGTGCAATATGTAGAAGCCACAGACATCAAAATGGTTCATGTACCAATATAGAACCTAAGAAATACTTTAGTCAACATGAAGGACAAGTTGCCAAGTGGAAACTTTCCTAGTCTTGTTTACGCTAGAGGCTGCTACGATTGTGACGAGTACAAGGGTGAAATTGCCAATTTCAATCGAGAAGTCAAACAACTTGAGCATGACATGAAATGAAGCGTGGCCTCGAATGCCCTCACTGAACACGTGGAATCTACAGGCCATTAAATTGATTGGTCAAGTGCACGTGTTCTGGCAAAAAAAAAAAAAACATAAACAAAAGCAAAAAAAAGCAGAGAAGCTAGCATCGTGCCTGCACGCGGAATCCCTGTATATACAGACAACTGCACATATGCTGAACAGGAGTGATGAGACGCTTCCAACAGTGTACTCTCAGGGCTTGTGTCATGTACTTAGGCATACTTAAGAGGGCACTAAAGAGAAACAATGACTTGGTTTAGATTGACAAACTGCACTCTGACAACTCTAATTACACATACATTTTACTACCATAACGAGATAATAAAAGTTGAAGTTTCATTACTAAATGTTGCACTGAAAATTTTGCACATTGATTGATATGTGAGGTTTAATGCCCCAAAACCACCATATGATTATGAGAGACGCCGTAGTGGAGGGCTCTGGAAATTTCGACAACCTTGGGTTCTTTAACATGCCCCCAAATCTGAGCACACGGGCCTACAGCATTTTCACCTCCATAGAAAATGCAGCCGCCGCAGCTGGGATTCGATCCCGCGACCTGTGGGTCAGCAGCCGAGTACCTTAGCCACTAGACCACCGCGGCAGGGCAATCTTCGCACGTGACGTCAGAAATTTCAAAACACATTTTTTTGTATTTTCACGACATTGGCTTGATGAAATTGCTTGAAGTTTCATATGCTAGATCTATGGCACCTACAGATAACAACGTACTTCATGTTTACCGATTAAAAGTCATATCGGACCCAGTAGACGCCTTCAAAATTTATGACGTCTCGGGGTTTGGTGCAGGAATCTGAAGATAGCTTCTCCACCAGGATTTGCTTTTTGCGCGCTTTCTTACTTACCAAATGTCGTGTAGCGGTAAGAGTGGGCTTGTCAGGATTGTGAAATCATACTTTACTAATAGGCGATATATCATTCTCTTCTTTAGTGTCCCTATAAATATGCTGTGCCTTTCTTATGGCTTTTTTTGTGAACAAGGCTCCTGCAACAGGTGCCAAAAGATCAGTAAACGGTGTTCTTTTAGCTGGTGTATCATTTCACGTTTGCACTAAGAAGCAACAGTTATGCACTGCTTTCTTTTTTATGCCTTTTTTAGCTGTTCACTGTAGTCAGGTAAAGGAGCGACTTTATAAGCTTTGATTAATGGTAATGCTTATTTTTGTGACAGTCGCACAGACTGCCACCAGTTTCCATGATTTGGCCAAGTTTTTCAGAAATTCCCTGACTTTTCCAGGATGGTCCAGATTCCCCAACTTTTATAGGTTTCCCAGATTTTCCAGGTTGGTAGACACCCTGTTGTTATGCAATAAAATTAGAGGCCTTAGAATAATGGAAATAAATCATTTTTTATAAATAAATAAAATTGGTACATCGCACACCAACCACAGTGTGGCAAATAAGAATACGCACCACTTTCAGCAAGGTTTCCAAACAACTCGAGCAGAACCTCAGTCACTTCTTCTGAGAAAACTTTGTCGAGATTACTAAGCAGAAGGGACAGAGTATGTTTTTCAGTAAGCCGTTTACGACCATCATCTGCAGGAAAGAAAAAAATTGAAATTACATCTGATGGAAAGGCTAAAGCTTGATTTACAAAGTAAATAAAACATGACAACCAGTTGTACTTAGAACAGCCCTGTAAGCATATTTCAGTTTCTTGCTTTTATTCACTTTAAAATTATCAATGGCTTGTACTTTTTGGAAACATGTTGGCATACCAAATGACAAAAAATTGTATTTGAAATTTGAACACTTATTAATGTGTGCTTTGCAATGTAAATGCTTCAATGAACTTGGAACAGGCATTTATTTAAATCCACACATTTTACAGCAACAGAGATACATATCAAAATGTTTCTATCATTGTTTACCCGACACAGCACTACAACCGATAACAATGACAATTATTTGACTATCTTTAAACTCTGTATGTATTAAAATCCTACTGTTTCTTAAAAGATGCCGGAAGTATAGTGAGAAAAGCATGCAAATGAAACTAAAACATTTGCAGGCTATATTAAACAGGTCATACTAATGATTTAAATTTGTATAAACTCATCAGATTTTTCAAGTGATTTATCGGGCCACCCTGACACTTAGGCCCAAATGTTTACAAAACAATACTACTCCCAAAAGACAATTGTTTTTGCACATTAAACCTGCAAGCCTCGATTTTAAAGGTGCATCTTACACATTCATTCTAATGCTGCCATTACAACTTCAGCTATCTTTGTCTTTTGCAAGCATGTTTTAAATTATCCATTACGGAATGTCTCAAGGTGCTATAAAATTAACACATTGATGCTATCATTGTAAGTTATTGTAGCCATATGCTAAGATTCCATCCACACAGGGAACTTAGAACCTGGCAAAATACACTAGATTCAGCATTTGTATCCATCACAAAAAAAGGAAGGTGGAAATGAACACAGAACAGTGAAAGTCACTCTGAAAGATGTTTTTAACATCCTCTAAAAATGCTTATAATCTGCAGTTAAGGCTCCCGCGAACATGCAAGCCAAACCATATTGCAATGCACGCAGCAGAGAATTTCTAATTTCATGTCAGACAGTAAAAGTTGCTTGCTCTACCCTTTGCAAACTACGCTGCAGTCAGGACTGCTGCAAGCAATGGCTAATTTTTTTAAAAACACCGAAAAAGTATGGTCTTGATCAACATTTGCCTGCTGTACGTATTGTTTTCTTCCACAATCATGCGAGGTGCCACCTCTAATACTACATGCCAACTCTTCAAACACTATGTGCCTGAGTTGATCACTCCACTCGTCCTGGGCCTGCTAAGACAGTGCTCAGTGATTTATTAAAAGACCCCCAGTACACTGCCACAGCACACTAGTTGGTATGTGGGGTTTAACGTCCCAAAACCACCATATGATTATGAGAGACGCCGTAGTGGAGGGCTCCGGAAATTTAGACCACCTGGGGTTCTTTAATGTGCACCCCAATCTGAGCACACGGGCCTACAACATTTCCGCCTCCATCGGAGATGCAGCCGCCGCAGCCGGGATTCGAACCCGCGACCTGTGGGTCAGCAGCCAAGTACCTTAGCCACTAGACCACCACGGCGGGGCTGCCACAGCACACTAGATATTTTCTACAGACTTACATGCTAAATAACTTTGTAGAAATCACTTTATGTTTAGCCAATTAAAAGTGCTTTAAAATAAATCATCTGTATTTCACTACCATATTTACATGCATATAAACTTCCCTCATGTATAACCAGCAGCCTCCCTTCTTAACTTTACAAATAATAATATATCATCATCATCAGCACAACTACGCCCACTGCAGAGCGGCAAAGTCCTCTTCCATGATTCGCCAATCAATCCGGTCTCGTGCTTTCTGCTGCCACGTAATAACTGTGAAGCTTTTAATCTCATTGGCCCACCTAACTTTCTGTGTCCCCTTCGTGTGTTTGCCTTCGCTGGAAATCCAGTCAGTTACCCTTAGTGACCAGTGGTTATCTTGCCTACGTGCTACACGCCTGGCCCATGTCCATTTCTTCTACTTGATTTCAACTACGATACCTTTAACTCCGGTTTGTTCCCTGACTCGCTCTGCTTTCTTCTTGTCTCTTACGCATGGTGTAAGAATATACAGATGCTTACACTCTCCACGCAACACATTGAAAAGCTCAATCCCAGCGCGTCCAGATAATGTTTGGGCCGTTATCTGTTATCATTCAGCTTGATTGATTGATTTGTTGGGTTTAACGTCCCAAAACCACCATATGACTATGAGAGACGCCGTAGTGGAGGGCTCCGGAAATTTTGACCACCTGGGGTTCTTTAACGTGCGCCCAAATCTATATCGTTCAGCTTCATCAGTGCCTTCTTAGATGGCGCTACGACGAGCGGGGTCAGCCGTCACAACAGCACGCTCGGCAGAAGTGCGCATGCTGCCGATTCTGGGTCTTTTTATGTGGATGTGTGAGCATGCTGTTTTCAAGCCAGGCTCCTTTTTTCTTCGCGCGTGTTTAATGCTATTCTATCGATGAAGGTGTAATCGAACTGGTGAGAGGTTCACCAAATGGGTAGAACGTGTTTGGTACTGAACTGCCGTTTTGGCTATCGGGCTCGAGCGGAGCGTGTGCCTTTCTTCAAAGTGCCGTCTGAGAGTGATGGTTGGCATAAATATGTGAATTCGAATAGTAACATCTAGCCACGAAGAACTGCATTGCTTTAATGTGCTCTATATAAAATACCGTATTTACTCGCGTAATGAAAGCACTTTTTTCTCGAAAAATCGGAGCAAAGTTGGGGGTTGCGTTTATTACGCGGGGTAAACTTTACGAAAACTTTTTCAGGAGAAGGAAAAAATGCAGTAATGTAGAAAAAAAGTTAGGTCACTTAGCCTTTTGCGATTTACACAGGCCTACACTGTTTGGAAACAGCTTCTTTGTTGCACTTTAGTCATCATTGGTGGTTGATGGCACTATCTTCTGCAAGCTGTCCCCCAGCCATGTGGGGGTGACTATCTTTTCTCCTAATCATTTAACTGCAACAGTGGTACCTGCTTGTGATCTTGAGGGGCGCCCAAAAGAGTGCATGGGGAAATGAAGGGGGGGGGGGGGGGAGGGGAATGAAGGGACAGTTAGTGTGAAGAAAAAAGAAAGGCTAAAAAAGAAAGGGGGGGGGGGGGGGGTGTTCTCAAGAAGCTACCGACCTCGGTTTGAACCCAGACTGGTATTTTTGCATGCGTGTGTGTCTGGTGGGGGTGGTGTATGGGCATAGGTGTGCATATACTGTGCGTGCTAACCCAATGTGTCACCACCAGTCGCTTTTTTTTTGTCGGCCTCGGTTGGCGCCGGCAATTTGGTGATTTTCCCTTGCTGTGTGCTTATCAGCTGCGATGTCTCTATGTCTCTACACTCCCACCACTTGTGAACCCCGCTATGGTGCACAGATAAGACGAGGGGCATGCGGCAACGGGCGAAGGGGAAGGGGCGGGAGCGAGCGGAGGTGGTTGAGGCGGGTTAGCAAAGCAATAAAAAATGGAAGAGATCCAACGGGTGAGGAGGCCCCAGGTGTCGGTTAGCGGTACTGCAAGTGGATGAATGTAGGAAGTGTGTGTATTACGCGGGGACGGGGGGGGGGGGGGAATCTAAGTTTTGATGACTGAAGTTGGGGGTGCGTTTATTATGCGAGTGCATTCATAATGTGAGTAAATACGGCACTTGTGCGGTTCAAATATTCATATATTTCGTAGAACAACTCCATTGCTCTTGTGTGCTTGATATGGAATACTTGCACGTTTCAAATATTTATATTGCGTTCACGTGGAACAAGCTTAACTGTGGTTTGAAGATTTCCTGTGTAAATGAAAGCATCGATACACATAAAATAAGTTTCTGGTGCAGTAACTATCCTCTTTTGATTGAGGAGTAATAATTATTACCGGTGGTTTATGTGTCAAAACCACGATTTGATTACGAGGGACACTGTTGTTGAGAGCTCCTGACCAATTTTGACCATCCGGGGCTGTTCAATATGCACCTGCATCTAAGCACATGCAAGTTCCTTGCATTTTCCCCACAGGGAAATATTTTGATGGAAGAATAGCATGCTGGCTAACATTGTTTTTTTAAATGTTTTCTTTTGCATCGAGAAATACTGTGAAGAGACAAAAATACAAGTGCAGGCAAGCGGAACTTAGCTTTGAGTACTCTGCGATTGATCCGTGTTGATGACATTCACAGCCTGCATAAGGCATTTTCGTGTTAATGAATCCTTAAACCTAGTGAAGCTTTATCTTTTAATCTGAAATGACAAATTTTCTTAGCGCTTTGAGTGTTAGTCACGCCACTAAAAATGAAAACGTTGGGCAGGCAGAGGAATTTTAATGCGCCAGCACCACTATGTTAGGTACGTTCGCCGCGGCACCATCTGACGGCTAACAGAAAGGTGTGCCCGTGAAAGCGAACATTATCTGGCCGCTCAGCTGCGCTCAGTGTCAACACCTGGTTATTCTTACACCATGCTCTTAAGGTTACACCTATCATTTTGCTTTCCATCACTCACTGCGTCGTCCTCAATAAACCTTTTTCAAGCACACTAGCGCCGTCAATAGGTGTGCAAGCACTTATGGGAAAAGTTTGTATGCTGCAGCAGCCGTGGCGACGAGTGAGCGTATCTTACACTTCATCTTTCCATTCGCACCGTGCCAGCGCTTCTCAGATCAAATGAACTCGGCAAGGCGTGATATATTGCAGCGTTATTTACTTACAAACTTCAGTTCTTGGGTGCGATGCCCTGTCTACAATTTGCACTTGTCCCCCTGTTCAACTAGCTGAGTGGCTCAGAAGTTTCAGTTAATTATTATTATCCTTTCGCATCAGTCCACCTTTGGCATAAATAAAAAGAAACAGTACAACTTGGTTGCCAAAAGGAGCAAGCACTGTTCATAATTTTACGGATGCATTCGGAATCAATGTCCTTTGATGCTGTTTATGAGTAAATTGTGGGGTTCTGGTATAGTTAAAGAGTGCTTTAGAAATAAGCACAATTTCATAAA